ATGTTGGTCATGGAGGTAACACCCTGGGCACTATATCCGGTCTTTGCCCCTTCCTCTCAGGGGGTGTTCACCTGCTCTCTGCTTCCTGATCATCATGAAGTGAGCAGCTTTGCTCCAACTATGGCCTTCTGCCATGTTGTTTCTTCCTTCTGCCAGCTGGTCATAAGCAGTAACATCTGAAATTGTGAGCAAAAATAAACATCTCCCCCTTTAAATTGTGGGTATCAGGCACTTTAGCACAAGAATGGAAAGCTGATGAATACACATAATTAAATATAGAATGAAAGAAGTTCTTCAGAAGAAGTTCAAATCAGTATTATTTCCCAGTGCTTTCCTATAGCTGAACCTAAAACCCAAATCCCATTTCTATAGCCTCACCTGTGTCATTTAACTTGGAAATTTGAGAAAGTTTCATGGAGAAATTCCATGTTTTGAAGATCTAGGGAATTTACCACCAGGTGGATTTGGCAGTAAGGTGTGAAACATGAAGGGTATTTAGATAAAGTTAAGCTTGTCTGTAACATATTATGCAGAGAGTGCAGAACATGAGAGGACAATCAAAAGCAAGAAATGAGGATAACAGCATGTTTGCTGAGTATCTAAGAGATCTTGAATGTTTTACACAACAGACTTTGACTTTTGTCCAACTGATGATTAGTTATAGCACAAAAGTGATCAGATAGTTTTAAGAAATGTCATGGAGATGAATTAACAGAGTGAATGTACCAAAAATATTTTCAGAATCTTAATTTGCTTATACCATCAATCTTCCTTCAGGGTAAAATAGTTCTGGAGAAAGGATAAAGAAATAAAAATTAATATATAAAATTTTAATGGATCGTTGATTTCTTATAAACTGAGATCACTGAGTCAAGTCTTAATGGAAGTATCAACTGTGTAAGTATGGTAGTATTTATCCACCTCTTTATTCATCAAACACACTCACTATGCCATTGTCTGGGAAGAATTCTAACATTGCCCCATGATCTTTTTCCCTGGTGTTACATTCAAGATTATGTTTACATTATATCACAAGAGTGAAAAGATTTTACAGATGTAGTTAAATCACCAAATTAGTTAAAAAGTCATCAGAAGGGATGTAATCAACTAGAAACATTTTTAAAAGAGGGTTTTTAAATTCACTTGGGTCAGAAAGATATTCTCCTGCTTTCAATGAAGAAGCAAGCTACCACTGGTCCTACAGATACAAGGAAATGGATTTTTCTATGAGCTCTGGAGGAGCTCATGAAAGAGCACTGTGAAACTCAGACAAGACCTCAACCTGGCTGACCTTGATTTCATCTTTGTGGAGGAACCCTGAGCATAAGATTCGGTTAGGCTTGGCCTGGTCTCCCAACCACAGAAACTGTGAGATAGTAAGACTATATTGTTTTGACCGCTTAAATTTATGGTAATTTGTTATGCAGCAGCAGAAAACTAATGTACCCTTAGAATAAGAAGGACAATCACATGAAATAATTATCTATAAAAATAATCACCGCGTATGATGGTTACAGGTACAGATCCCAAAACCAAGTTGTATTGGTTCATATCCCAACACCAATGTGCCATATGATCCAGCACATTTTCACACATGCCACATGCTTCCTACCTCAGTTTTCACATTTTGAAGTGAGGATAGACATAGTGTTAAACTTACAGGATTATTTTTGAGATTAATGAATTTAGTTTATAGAAAGTGGCTAGAAAGGCAATTGGCACACAGTAAGCACTGTATAAAGCATCACCTCTCTTACATGAACTGCTCTATTCATTATCTGAATAGATAGATCCAATGCTTTTTTCAGGTACCCTCTTAACAAACAGAAGTCTGTCCTGTCCTAAACATTCAAAGCATTTGATGAAGAGATCAATCTTACCATTGAATTCTTCCAATAATTAATTTCAGTCAAAAAAATTAAAGAGTGGATGAAATAATGTGATACAATCTCAATTTTATACTGCAAAATATCTGGTAGGACCTAACCATTTCTGAAAATCTTTCAGTGCTACCTGCTATGATTTGGATCTGATTTGAGTGTTTCTCTCAAAGTTTCATGTGCCAGGAGCTTAGTCCTCATTGCGATGCTGGGCATACGAGACCTACACAAATTGAGGTCCTTGAAAGGTAATTGGGCCATGCAGGCTACACCCTCATAAGAGGGATCAATATTTTTCTCCCAAGGGAAGTCCCAGAACAGCAGGTTATTTTAAGCCAGACTGGCACCTTCCCTGAATCTCTCCTACTTCTGTTTCAGTAAGTGATCTTTTCTGCATGTTCTCCTGCCAATGTGATGCTATTTGGCAAGAGGACCTCACCAGAGCCAAGCAAATGCTGGTACCATGTTCTTGAACCTTCAGAAAGTGTTAGTTAAATAAACTTATTTTCTTTATAAAGTATACAGGCTGTGTACCAGCCTGCACCTGGCCCTAGGTTTGATCCCTAACACTGGGAGGAAAAAAACAACTCTTTATAAACTACTCTCAATCCCAGGTGTTTTGCTATGGCAAAACAAAATGAACTAAAACATTCCTACTTCCCCAAGATTTAGGGATCAGTCACAATTCTAAAAGAATCACTAAAACTCATAAAAGCTGATGAAATTTTATAATTGGATCATTGTGCAGAAATTCTATAGAATAATGTAGAATAAAAATATTTTGGGAAAATATGTTTAGCTGTGATATAAACATAGATGGAGGGACAGATAAGGAAGGAAAGAAGGAAAAGAAAGAAAGAGGGAGAGAGGGAGAGAGGGAAGGAGAGAAGAGGTGACTTCTGATCCTTCATGAAAAGATGTATTGTAAATTCTTGGGGCAAATGTATTAATTTGTTTAAAATAAGTGAAGCTTTTTCTAAATCAATAAAAACTGTTGGGTTATAACTGGAAAAACATTTTCTTAAGATAGCCAACTAGAAGTGTTTAACTGGGTCAAGTGAAAAGTTAGTGGTTAAATGGAACACATTGTTGCATATATGTGAGTGTGCGTGTGTGTGTGTGTGTGTGTGTGTGTGTATCTATATATATAATCACACAGGTGAACTTTTAAAACCAGAGATATATAAACATTATTTCAGAGATTCTGACCTTGGAAGTCTAGAGTACAGGGCAGAAAATGATTTTAAGCACTTCTGTATTAGTTATGGGAAGGGAAGCTGTAGTAATAAATAGATTTCTTTTTTTCTCTCTCTCATTGAGTTTATTGGTACATTTTAAATATAGAGTACAATTACATCCATCATTGGGATCTTGTACCTTTACATGACAGGTCTTGGTTCTCATTTTTCTCCCTTGTCCCTGTCCTCCCTTCACCCCCTCCCCATTTACAAACACTTTCTTTCCATTTTTTCATTTTCTCATATTTTTTTCATTTCCCTATTACCTTTCCCCTACCCTTCCCACTTTCCCTATGCCTTTAGCCCTTTTCTTCCTATTTCACATTGTAAATTATATCATTAGGATCTTAGGTACTATTATAGTTTACTCACACCAGAGAAACTATTTGTGTGACTTATTTGTTTCACTTAGGAGTATATCCTCAATATGTATCCATTTTTCTATGAATGAATCTAATTTATCTTTCTTTATGGCTTCGTAGTATTCCATTTTATAGAAAAACCCCATCTTCTTTATCCAGTCTCCCACTGATGGGCAAATAGGCTGTTTCCAAGTTTTAGCTATTATGAACTGTGCAGCTATAAACATAGGTGGGCATATATCACTGTGATATGACCAAACAATAACAAATGTTGGTGGGGTTGTGGGGAGAAAGGAACCCTTCTGCATTGTTGGTGGGAGGGCAGACTGGTGCAATCACTATGGAAATCAATATGGAGATACCTCAAAGAGCTGGGACTAGAGGTTCCATTTGACCCAGCCATCCCTCTGCTGGGTATCTTTCCAAAAGAATATATAGATTTCTAAGATCGGCCGACTAACATGGTGGAATTTACCTTCTTGCTCATACAACAATTGGGGTGAGGTTGATGGGAAGCTTTTCTTCAAGTGCTAGTTCAGACACCCAGATTCTCTCCATCTATGGCTCTCAGCTCTAGGGTTTCACTGTCATTTGCATCCCTATGATTGAAGGAGAAATAGTAGGGATGAGGCCATGTGGGAAAAGATTATAGGTCAACAAAATAATTGATAATTAATAACAATAATTAAATGATGGCCACTTGACAACTTTCTGATCTTAGCCAAAATACTCCCCTCCATGTGTCTTAGTTTCCTCAGTTTCTCTTTTTTATAATATTCTTGTGCTTTAAGAATCATATGAGGGCTGGGGATTTAGCTGCGG